AATTCGATTTATAATCATATTGAGTATGTATATTAAAAACCTAAAATATTTAGCAAGAATAAAATGAGAATTATCATTACTTAATTAAATATTAAATTAAATTGTACTAAAAATTAAATATACACACATGTAAATTATACAAGTGATTTTATTGTACCAATACACTTGTATATATACGTGTATTAAAAGTTTTTAAATTGAAATTTATTAAACCATTTTACGTATCAAGTTAAAAATAAAATTTATTTTTTATTTTTCATATGAAATTTGTACATAAAATAACTAAGTAAGTACTTATAGTTGCTGTTCTAATTTAAAAATAAAATTAGGAATAAATGAGAACAATGAATCATAATATAAAATATTTAAATTAAAATATTACAGCAATATTATATTAGTAAAATTGTGTAATTTTTTTAAGGAAATGGTTTAATAATAAAATATTCACTAAAAAAAAACAAAAAAACAATTTGCATTTGAAAAGAATTAATTAAGAATTTGATGACTTCCTTACAGTACAAAAAATAAAGTAATAAATGCTTTGAAAAACGAATTTCTTTTTAAAATCAAATTCTTAAGTAAGCAGTGAATGATTTGAAAAATTGAAAAAATTTAATTCCAGAACACAAATATTTGAATTTATTTTTAATTTCTTGTTCATGTATAAACTTAATCATTTTCTGACATAGCTAATTCTCAATTCGAAAATTTGATAAATTTATCTAACAGAATATCTATCGAAAAATTCTGAGTTTTTTGTTATTTATTTAGCGTAAAAACAGAACAGCCAAAGTGGAAAACTAAAACGGCGAACACAGAACAATGAACAACAGCAGAAAACGGCAAAATCAACTATTCAGTATTTTGTATATAATGTCGCATACACATGGAAATAAATGATGTCAAAAAAAAAATATAATTTAAGGTGTTTTACCGACAACATATGATTCTAGGCGGCCCCCATTTATATACATATGTTTGCATGCTATATGAATTTTGACATTTCGCCCTAGACAAATTTCACTTGTTTTGTTTTCAACCTTTACTTAACACAAAATCAAATGCATTTTTTGCATAATATTTTGGATTATTTATTAATAAAGGAGTTTTTAAGTAATTTATATACAAACAAAATTCATAATTACGTGATAAACAATATTTGGAATTGGATTAAAAACAAAATCTATTTAAGTAATAGAATAAGAATGGAATAATTAAAAATTTTCATGACTCATAATAAAAATAAATAAAGTAACTAAATAAGTATGTAATTTTAGAAAACAAGTTTAGTAATATTTAACATTTAAATTAGATTTGAAAACAAATAAGTAATTATAATTAGTTACTGAATTAATTAAACAGATGATCTAAGATTATTAAAATATCTGATTGCATTGGTTGACTGCTTTAAAATGATATGGAATTGAAAAATTAATTGTATATTATATACATAATTATAAGGTATAATTAAGATAATGAAAACATGAACAGGAGGCGTTTGAGCGTAAAATTGGTTCAAAAAATACGGCGTGAAATTCAATTGCCCAATTAATTTTTAGTTTAAAATAATAATTTAGATAATCTAAGTATTTTAATTTAAAAATTTTAGATTTTTTAATGAAAATTTCCTATAAAATCTATTTTATATTCATAAATCAGAGAATTAACAAAATTTTCAAAATAATTACTTAAACTAAGTATAATTCAATTAATTTAAATAAAAATCTTGATTTACATGTACTTACTATAAAAAAAATAATGTTGAAAATTAAAAAAATTTAATTTAATTCCACGTTTTTTTTTTTTTTGGCAACATTAAAATTTAAATATTTTAATTAAATTTATTGACAATTTTTCATTAATTTTATTTCATCGTAAATCATTCGATTTGGAATATGTATATATGTCTTCATCAATAAATACAAACAAGTAACCAAGTATAAGAATAAAACATGTGACATACTTAAGTATTAATTCAAAAGTGCAAGAAATTTACTAAAAAAAAATGCTTGAGATTTAAAATTTTGACTACTTGTAAATGAGAAATCTTAAATTTCAAATAAATTTTAGTTCCACAATTTACCTAAAATTCCAGAACCTATTTAACCCAAATTAAAACTGTAATGAAAGCTCTAATTATCCTACTTAAGCCCTAAAAATTACTCCTGGTCATTGCTGTGATAAATAATTTAACCATGAACAAAATTAAATATTTTTCAATAATTATTAAATCAAAGTAATATCAGAAATAAATTGAACATAAGTACTTATACGTTACTATAAATTATAAGTATTTATTTTTCAACATTTCAAGGTAAATTCGTAAATAAATCAAATAAAACATTAAATATATTTATATATATAAGAAAATTATGTATGAATTAGAAATGAAGAAACTAAATTAACAAAATAATAATAGTGCCGTGCGTAAGTATAAGTACTTATTTTGTTTTTTTTTTTTTAATATTTTGCCTTCAAATTTCTAATTATAAAATATATATATTTTTTTCTTTTGTTTGTATGCAGTTCGCAATTATTCATTTAGTCATTTGACATACATAGTTTTGTTTAATATATGGGCATACGCGCTACATTATTAAAATACATACTTGTATTTACATATCATAATATATTTGCATATATAAACTAATAAAATAATAGGATAATGACAAAAATATTCTCTGAGAATTAAAATGAACAAAAATTGATAGTAAAATAATAACATTAATACACTCAGATAGTCAGTGTAAATAAGTTAATATTAACAAAAACGTGTAAATTTCTTAACAGTAAAACTTCGGTAATTTAAACATTCATTATTTGAAATTCAATAACAATGACCTGTCCATTGATATGTAATTTATATGAACACAAGTTAAGGTTTTAATAGCTTTAATAACTTCTTCCTTTTCGTAAGTAGCACAATATATAATAGAACAGTCGAACACGTTTATTTGCAACACGCGTATGAGCAAAATTTCCTTATACCTACACGCAGTACATTTTTTGTCCATATTTTAATTTTTCTAGTCAAATAGAAAACGGATAACTGATCCGAATAATATCCATAAAAAATTTTGTCCAAACGATGGGCATATAATATTATAAATATGTTATAATAGCACGTATTCGACTGTAAATACTTGAATAAATTAATAAAATACCAATATATATTTGTAAGATCTAAATTTATCTTTTGTAATTAAATAAAGTTTTCTGATTTTTTCTTTCTTTTTTGTAAATATTAAATTCACACGGATGAAATTTTCATTGAAATGTAAAAGAAAACACAAATTTATTTGAAGGTATTTCAAAATGTAAATGATCTTCTTTGAAAAATTATAAACTATTAAATTTTAATTGTAATTTTAAATATTTTCAAAATTATTTCAAATTAATTATGAGTTTTGAAATACAATCATGGCCCAATTTTAACACCTACCTGCCTATTTAATATCAATCCATTTTACAATTTAAATTTATATATTAAAATATTTTTTAATATTATAATTTGAATTATGTATTTAAATGAACAATGAAAATTTTAAATTCTGAAAATTAGATTATTTATAAATTTGTTAATCATTCATCTTATTTGCTCTTTAATAAGGTAATTGAAAGCAAAAAGACCATTGTTATTAGCAATTATAAAGAAAAAACTATTTTTATGATTAAAATTTTATATTTAATGCAAAACGAGTTTATTGGCATCTTTTATGCATTTCATTCACATTTTCTAAAAAAAGAAAAAAAAAACAATTTATAATTTATAAACAAATCAATGAGCTATTTTTAATTATTTTACTAAGATTGACAATAATAATGAATTTATAATTAAAGATATAAGAATGTAGATATGTATATATTTTTCAATTTAGAAGATAATTAAGTATTAATATACATTTTAAAAATTTTATTTAGAAAATACAAATATTTATAAAAGAAATTCTAAAGAACATACATAAAACACTTAGCACCATAGAAAATAGGAATTTAGTACTTATTACCAGCAAGATACCTACTAACTAAATCTAAATTCTAAATAAACAATATACTCAATTAAAATGCAATAGATTCTAGTAGTTGAAATAGATTATAAGGTTACTATTGTTTGAATTATAAGACACATATAACCTTTAAAGTTAATGAATGTAGAGAAAAAAAATCCAGAAAATCTATAAATTTTTGAATATCAATTACAAAATTATTATTAATTTTTATAAAAAATATATATATATATATATTATCAAATAAATCATTAAAACTTTCCTCAACATTTTAAAAGAAGTGGGATGCTAGAAATAATTTTAAAAATTTTAAAGTAAAGTACGTATATACACCATAATTCATAAGAATTTGATTTTGATTAAGTAACTGGCTACATACCCTTATTATATATAAATGATTGATTATTTAAATAAATTGTTTTGTAAATAACATAGGTGGGAGGTTTCATTTTTATTCAAAATCAATAAAAATTATTATACCTACTTATCTTAACGGAGATCTAAAATGGCAAATCGAAGAGATTTGATTGAGACAACACATAAAATCAACCCTAGTTTTAGCTATAGTACTTACAGCTAGGTAATATTTTTTTAAAAAAATACATAAGTAATATTTAAGTAAATATTAAATAATTATTTTAGATTCGGTTATATAGGCTCGGCTAAACGTTCCGCTTATTAAACAGATAACAACACAAACATTAAGTTTATGTTGATTCTAGGTGCTTACCAAGAGCATATCAGATTTTCTTATCACTCACACCTTAAATTTTATTCTTTGTATTAATTAAAGGAATTTTAAAGTTATAAGTAGGTATATAGGTAAATAAAAAGAACGGAATTATAAAAAAAAGATTATGTTATTGACTTGGTGGGTATTCAAACACTTGGCTGGTATTGGACACTTGGTGGGATAAAGTAATAAAATTTATAAATATTGCAAAAAAGTGTTATATAATAAAAATAAAAATAATTTTGTATAATATCACTTACCTACACTTACAAAAGTCTTAAAAAATTCTGGTGGAATGTTTGTTGCTCTACCATCAACCGATAATGGTGGCGTAACACGATCATGTTCATGTAATAAATCTGTACCAGTTACTATAGTACCAATTGGATAACTAGCTAATACAGCTGCTGTTGTTGCTGATGTTGTTGTTGGTATATATTGATTACCTCCACCACTTGAATAAAATTGCGGATGACATATAGTATTAGTTGCTGTTCCTGATGTTGTTACACCAGCACCACCATCTAATATACCCAATGATGTTAAACATGTAACATTCTCTTTTTGTAAATGTCTTAAAGCTAACGCAAATTTTTTAATATCACCAAATTTTAAAAAATAATTTAATTTATAACGTAAATCTTTTATATCATATTCAGTCATTGATATTAAAGTTCTTCCATCAATTTCCTCATGTTGTATACAATCGATTACACTCCAATCTAATTTTTGTTCGTTTGCCCATTCTAAAACTCTTTCTTTTGTCCAATCTAATACTGTATCTCCAGATCCAATACCATCACTGGAAGCACTCACACAATTTGTCATATTGAATTTTTTTTCTTATTTTTTATAAAATAATTTATAAATTTATTATATTTTTATTATGCTTATTTTTGTTTTTTCTTTACTAATTTCCAAAGTAATAACCAATTAATGGTCTTAATCATTAAGAAATTATTTCCAAATATTTTAGTAAAATATTAAATCAATTAAATAATTAATATGAATATAAAAATCATAACAATTAAAAGAAAATTTTGAAATAAGAATTTTTAATAATATACAATAAATAATTGTTAATAAAATACATTCCAATTTGGCAAAATTTCTAGCACATACAAAATACGAATTCAAATACGAATTACTTTTACTTTATCCGATCGTTTCTGAAAAACTAAATAAATTTTATTCACTTTTCAATTTTTTATTCTGACATTTGTGAATATGTCACATTTAAATCTGCAATCAAAGTTTAATGTCAAAATAAGAAATGTCATTTTGCAGGGTTGCAGATTATCGATAGTAAACCTGTGCTGCCATTTAAGAAATTCAAATAATAAATATTTTTTGATAATGACAGCACTTTTGGTATTGTCAAAAAATTGGAAACAAACAAAGTTATTAAATAAATTTTCACAATATCTTAAGAGTTTGTTTTTTTTTAAATAGATTTTAGCTTTAAATATAAATCATATAATAATGTCTTTAGTCGCATATGATGCAAGTAGTGATGAAGAAGATAATTCAGATTTAGACGAAAAACCAGAAACAAAAATAGAGCTTAGCAAGAGTGTAGAAATTTCAGATCGCATTTCAAATTCTGAACAACACACAAATGGCAATATAAGTGACGAAGATGAAATTTACAATGATAATGATACAGAAAAAACAATTAGTTCACTCAATCCAGAAAATAGAAAAATTAACTTACCCTTACCTAAAATTTCAAATGGAGAATTGAGTAAGATAGATAGTGGCAATTCAAATTTATCAATTCATATGAAATTGCCAACACCTAAAACTTTGTCAACCAAAATCAATGCTGAAATAATAGAGGAGGATGACGAATTTTTGCATAAAAAAGTCGAAAAGCCCTTGATAGAAAAACCTCCACCGCCGAAAAAACCACCTGTTAAAATTACAATCCCCAGTTTAAGTCAATTTATGGAATTCAAAGTTGAAAACAAAAAATATAATACAAATTCTGGAACAAAAAATTCTTTAAATCTATTAGATATGTTGCCCCAACCTAAAAACGAGGAAATATTTCAAGCAAGAAATTTAGAAAAGAATAAGAAACCCACCAGTACAGTGACAAGTTTAATTCCAGATCATGTTAAAAATCGAATGCAACAATCCAAAATAAACTCCACTACTACAAGTAAAAAAGGCACAAAAACTTCAAAATCATTGGTTAACATAAGTGATAGTGACGAAAGTGATGAAGGGGAAAATCAAGATTTCTTTTCATTAAATTTAGAAACCAAATTACCAGAAGTTAGTGAATTTGAATTGAATGCTATGGTAGGGAAAAAAATAGCAGAAATTAAAAAAACATCGAAGAAAATAGATGAAATGGTAAAATCTACTGAAAATAATGTTCCGAGTGAAATTATTGAAGAGCCAGTCGATTCAGGATCAGTAGATAAGGTAGCATTACAAGCATTAGTTGGTGCTAGTCATGCAAAAAGAAGGAAACTTGTTGAAGAAATACAGGTTGTTGAGATATCTGGTGAACAAATTTTACCAAGTCGAGATGAATGGATGAGGGCTGCTCTTGCTGCTGAAACTACTTATCAACCTAAAGGAGTATTAGTGGATGAAGAGCCTGCTCCCGGTACTAGAAAGAAACATCAAATCACTTATTTAGCTCATCAAGCTAAAGCGAATGAAGCAGAGTTACAAGCTATGTGGGCGGCAAACAGACAAAATAGAAGAGCAACAGCAAGCAAATATGGTTTCTAATCAATAAAAAAGGGATGTGTTACAAAATTTAAAGGTATATATTACAAATAAAAAAAATTTTTACAAATCGTTTGTTTTTCTACTACATATATAAATAGTTTCCGCAATCACGATATAAATTTCGGCAACCATGACAAAGATTTTTTAATATTTTGTCATTAGTGCTTTCTCCGTACAAACTCTCCCACGCTCTTTTCTCTAAGCTGTCTAAATTATCTAAGTTTTCAGAGTCAGTATTTTCCGAAGCAAGCCTCGAAAATTCTATCGCCAGCAAAGTATTAGAATCAAAAAAATCTAAATTAGCATTGCAGAACATACACTTAGTAGATGATATATTTAATTTTTCTAATGTACTCTCCAAATTAACATCTTGGTTCTTCTTATTGACAGCAATCTTTTCACCAACACGGAAAATAGTTGATACTGTTGAAGAAAATCCATTTTGTAAATTATCAATAAAATCTTTAGTTAAATTTTTTATACTAGCGTCTGATTCTAAATTTGATCCATATGGAATATGTTCAGAAAGTTCTGTGTGATTCAGGTTACAAAATTTTAAATAACATTCAATCTCTTGAGGAAGTAAATCTTTTATCGGTCTTACAAATTTAACATTTTCGTATCGGTTATCACAAAGAGAAACATCATCGGCCATTGAAGCACCACGACCTAAAGAAACATCTGTAAGTAAAGTTACTGCCAAGTCTGAAGTTGTATCCGGTAAGAAAATAAATTTTATGTCAAGAAAATCAGCTGCCTTTTTTAATATAACTTTACGTCGTCTTTCTAAATAATCTTGTTGAGATGTCAATGTTTTTATATTTCCGAATTCAGTTTGAAAATTTTCTTCTTCTGATTTCCTCTGTGGATTTTGAATATAATTCAAAATTTCCTTAAAATTTACTGGATCACCATTGCCACCTAACGAAACTATATATGATTCAAAATTATATTTTCTTAAAAAATTTTCAATTTCTTTCAAATCCAAATTATGACCGAAATCTTCATCAATATAAAGTAATTTAGTTGAACAATGCAATTTTTTAAAATTATTTTGTGTTTGAGCATAGTGTAACATATCAGCTAAGACAATTGAAGCATTACTTCCATCAAAGAGTATTAATATTTCCGAATCTTTTGGTATTAATTTTGATGATCCCAATGTAGCTCTAAATTTATGCCGAACATTCATCAAAAAACAATTTTGACATTCTGCATCTCTAAATTGTATTTTTACAGCAGCTAAATTTTGGTTGCATTTTTTGCATACAATTTTCTCAACCTGGTCAACTTCGCATGACGTATCCATTTCATTATCTTTAATCATAGCGTGAGCTCCACCTTCATCTCCAAAGTCATCTTCTCCTATACTGCACATTTTTATAAAATGTTTTTTTTGTATTTCGGATGATTTATTTTTGTGAGTCTCACAAGAAATTAAAATATTAATTAAGACTATAATTGAAAAAATAACAAAATTTGCACGACCCGAATACCAAAATTTTAAAGGATGACGGAAAGACTTTTGAAACAGCAGCATGGATCAACGTCATGTTATATAAAAAATATTATTGTAAAGTTGTTACCAGATTGATCATAATATTATATTTCAAAAATTTTTGTAAATTCTTATGTATTCTTGCTTTGTTCAAATTTTTAAAATACAAAATTTGTTATGCAGAATTTATAGGTGAAACTCAGATTTTACTATTACTTTCCAAAATCTTTGGTCTTTAATTTCGATTGCTAATCAGAATTTTTAGCCACAAATTAGCTGTGGCAATAAGTTAGTACAATAAAATCTCACTTAATTTTTATAATCGATTCTTTAAATTTTTACAATCGATTTCCTATTTATTGGAACAATATGATTTTGACTTTTATATCATATGACAATGTCCTAAAATGAAATGTGCTGTTGTTTGTAAATAAATAAAAATCAACATGAAATTTAAACCAAGTAAAAATGTTATTAGTTTATTTTTAAATAAAAATTTTAGTACACATTCAAATCATAATGGTCGACGTGTTGTAGTCACTGGACTTGGTGCCGTTACACCACTTGGAAACAATGTTCAGACATCATGGACTAAAATCTTAGCTGGTGAGAGTTCAATTACAAATCTTTCCGGGGAAGAATATAATAAATTGCCATGTAAAGTAGCCGCTCAAATAGATAAAAATGCATTAAATTTAGAAAATTATTTTAAAAAGTCTGATATTAAAAGTATGAGCCCTGCCACATTATTAGCATTATTAGCATCTGAGGAAGCACTAACATCAGCAAATTTAAAAGATATACCCGATAAAAATAAAGACAGAATAGGAGTTTGTGTTGGCATGGGTATGTTCGACTTATCTGATGTTTACTTATCATATCAGAATTTGGTGAAAGGGTATAATCGTGTTTCACCATTTTTTATTCCAAGAATTCTGCCGAATATGGCTTGTGGTCATATCAGTATGAGATATAATTTTAGGGGACCAAATCATTCAGTGTCAACGGCATGTGCAACAGGAGCTCATGCTATTGGTGATGCATTTCGTTTTATAAAATATGGTGATGCTGATATAATGCTTGCTGGTAGTGGTGAATCTTGCATTGATGCTTTATCTATAGCTGGTTTTTGTAGACTTCGTGCCTTAAGTACAACATTCAATGATGAACCAAGTAAAGCATCCAGACCATTTGATAAGAAACGTGATGGTTTTGTTATGGGTGAAGGTTCTGCAATTTTAATTTTAGAAAGTTTAGAAAATGCTAAAATGAGAAATGCTCCAATTTTAGCAGAAATTTTAGGTTATGGGCTATCTGGTGATGCCTATCATTTGACTTCACCAAGTGAGGATGGTTTCGGAGCACAACTAGCAATGAAACGTGCTATTGAAGAAGCTAAACTTGATTCTTCTCAAATTGGTTATGTAAATGCTCATGCAACAAGTACACCAACTGGAGATAAAATTGAAGCGAAAGCAATTAGCTTAGTCTTAGGAAGAAATGATGTAGAAGTATCATCAACAAAGGGTGCCCATGGTCACTTATTGGGATCATCGGGAAATTTAGAAGCTTTATTTGTTGTAAAAGCCTGTCATGAAAATATTTTGCCACCATCTATAAATATTGATCAATTAGATGATGATATCAATATAAATATTGTTAGAAAATCAAAAAAATGGAATACGGACACAAGGAGAATAGCTCTTAAAAATTCATTTGGTTTTGGAGGAACTAATTGTTGTTTATGTATTTCTAGTTTTACCAATTAAATTCTGTTGATTTTTTATTACATATTTTATAAACGACAAAAATATAATTTGTCTGCTTTATATTTTATTTTATAGTTATGTAGATAGATCATGTTTAAAATAAATTCTTTTTTTTTAGAATTGATTGAATGCATTGAATTATTTCAAACTGGTTTATATAATTTGTTAGGAGTAATTGGAGGGAATTTTGTCATAAAATAAAAATAAATCGAAATTTTATATTATATTTTATTATTCATGTGATCAAAAGTTATTTTCAAAATTTCAAACAAAATTTCACATGAAAAAGGGAAAAAAACCTTAACTAATATTAAAAACTTGTTAACAATATTAAAAAAAAAAATCACACAAATTTTTAATTATAAAAGAATTTTAGTTTGAACATTATTTTTCATTGTTGTAATATTAACAACGTGCATTTTTAATAATTTTTTTTATAAAAACACAAAAACTTAAAAAATAAGAAATAAAATATTTAAAAATAATTAATAATTTATAATTAATGATCTTTTTAAATGAAATATATATAATATTTTTGATTATTTCAAAAATAATAGTGGGCATAAATTTTTATGAAAAATAACAAAATTTTGTTTGGACTTGGGATTTGTTTATGAGAATATTTAGATGGTATAAAATTGTATAGAATATTTCACAAAACTGAAGTCTTTTTGTTGATGAATAAGTTCTTTAAAATTAATATAAGAACCACTTAATGAAATTTCTTGCAAAGAATTATAATTAAAAATTACAATTTTCCGCTAAAAATTGATTTTTCGATATAAGTGAGTTTAATGCAAATTCAATTTGAGTTTATTCATTAGTAATAAATAGTACAATTTGAAATGTTTTATGATATATAGAATATTAGAGATACATTTCCGTAAGTACAATTTTATGATCATGATTTATGTTCATGAATTTTAGGGAAAAATGTTGTTTTTTGGCTCATTAATAAATTATTTATAATTTTAATTAAAAGCTTGTATAAAAATTCCTAATTATTTATATATGTACATATAACATATATATTTTCTTTTGTCTTCTTCAAAGTCATTTATTTTTCTGTTCAAAAAATCAAATATAATGAATTAGTTTTAATTTTTTCAAATAAATTTGTAAACTTTTACTAAATTTGTTTTGGAATTTTTATTTTCTTTTTATAATTTATTTAATTTTTTTTTTTTTTAATTAAATTATTTTTATATCAAAAGTTTTAGCTACTCTAAACTCTAATAACTCCATTTTTCGATTTATTACAATATTGAATTGTTAATATTTTATTAATAAATTAATGTATTAAAAATATTAAGTTAGTAATATTGCTGTTATTTTGTGTTGTATAAATTTATTAAATAACAAATTTGAAAGCCGAAAAATTTTCACAACTTATAAGATAACAAAATTATTTTTTTAATTTTCGTCTTTTTTTTTTTACTAATTAACCCTAATCAAATTTATATTATCAATTTAGTATACAAGTCTTTGGTTTTGGTTTTTTGTTTTTTTTTTTTTTCGGCAAACAATGCTTAAACAACCATATTAAAAATATTGTTAAAGAAACTCAACAAAATTTAGAATTTCTTAGATATTTTTCACATGAAAACGTCCTTATTTGCGGCAATAAGAATAATAAATTCGACAAAATATTAGATTTGAAGAAAAAAAACGAGTTATTTGCATAATAAAATTATGAAAAACAAAAACCAATTAAAACAAAAAAAAAATAACATTTAATTTTTAATTTAAATTTGTTTTTTGTTTTGTCACTTTTTCTGGTTTTAATTTTTAATATTTAATCGGCACTTTCTAAATCACCTTCACATTCTTCAAGTAAATTTTTCATTCTTTCAATTTTATTTTTTAATTCTTTATCAGCTTCTTCTTCTTGATTCTCTTCTGGTTTTTTTGGTAAAAATAATTGTTGTATTGTTATTAATAAAAATATAGCTGGTATTATATAATTAAGACGATAAATTGAATCTTGACAATATAAAATACAACCTCCTGCTATAGCATATAATATACCAGATAAAATAGTGTAACCATAAACATTACGTGGTGCACCGAATTGTCTTAAAATTGAAATTGATAATAATACAATTAATGATGGTATATAAGATGGATCGGGTGATAATCTTCGATCGTATGTATAATTTTTAGCCCATGATACTGTTGCTGGTAGATTAATTAATGTTAAAATACCAAGTAATATTAATAAAGTCATATGAAAATTAATACTTGAAAAACTTTCATGAACCGAATCATATTCTAAGCGTTCTAAAGATTCTTTTTTCTTTTTTTCATCTAAAATTTGCTTTTGACGTGTTATTGCTTCATCTAATAGTTTATTTAATTCAGTTTCACTAATATCTTCTGGAAAATCTTGTTCAGATGCAGCATCATAAGCATTTAATAAAATTTCACTACTCTCTGATAATTGTTTTGTATCAATTTCATTTTCGTTTTTGTGATTCGTTGCCATATCCTTATCATCATTTAAATTCTTTGATTCTTCTTCTTTATTTTTTGAATCTTCCCTCTTTTTAATTTTTAACTCGTCCGATTTTTTATTTTTGTCATCTTTTTCCAAATTTTCAGATGGTAATTTTTTTGGATTTTCTTCATTTGCCTGATCTTTTTTTAAATCTTTTGAAATAGTTTCCGGTTTAATGCTTATCGAATCGTTCTTTTCTTCCTGATCTTGTAATTTACTTATTGGTTTCGTTTCTTTTTCCAAATCATCTGAAACTTTTTCACTTTCTTGATTTTTGATTGAGTATGTCTCATATTCTTCGCTTTTCACTGAATCCTTTTTATTTTCAAGGTTTTTTGTTAAATCTTTCGAGTTTTTGAGTGAATCTTCTGAGTCTATCTGGTTTTTAACTTCCCTAGATTCATCAATATCTGTTTTCATTTTCCTTTTCCTGCGTCTTATATTCTTATCTTGATTTTTCTCCGAATGTTCAGGGTCTTCACTGCTTATATTTTTTATGATTTTAACCTCCTCCTCTTTTCCTTCTTCTTTATCAGAAAGTGCAATTGAAGTATCACTATTAAGTTCCTCAATATCAGTAACATCTGTTTCACTTTCGTTCTCTTTTGATTCAGCATTTTCAATATCACTTTTCTTCTTGAAAAATTTTTCTTTAACTTTTCCAAAGAGTTTTTCAGCTATCATCTACAAAGTAAAAAAATAAAAAATAAATATATATATATATATATGTGTATATGTAAATTTTTCCTTTAAATTCTACTTTTAACTTACTTTAGCCGTATCATAAACAAATTCTTCTAAATAATCTTCGTAATCTTTCAAAATTTGCATAAAATATATTACACATCCAATTATCATAGCTACACCGCCACATGATCCACTAGCAACGAAAACTAATATAATACCAGAACTTATAGGAATTTTTTCTATAACTGGCATTACTGCATCAGTTATTGTTGGTAGCTTAATGGGTAATTTGATAATTCTTAAGAGAATTTTATGTGCCATATTACCATATATTTTTATAGTTAACCATAGAAAAATTGTAACTGAGATTAGCATTGCAAAAGCAGTTCCATGTATCAAAATTGATACCATTAAAGATTCACTATACGGATCCAATTCAGGTAAAAAGGACAACATTTGAAACAATTTTCCAAAAAGTCGAGACATTGTTATTATGAAAAAAGAGGAACAAACTAACAATCCTGTTTGGAGTTTTCCACACCTAAATGAAAGTTTTTTAGGTGTTATTGTTATTTGATGTCGAAAAGCCATCAAAAGTATTCCCACTAAATGAGCCGGCAACCAATGGAAATATTGTTGTAGTATCCGAGACATTGTTCCTCCAAATGAATTTTTGTAAGATATTTTGTAGCGACAATTTGCATCTAAATGCAATTGCACAATGATAGGATTTGCTGTGGAATTGTAATTTTGTGGTTTAGTTTTTGGAACATCAATGTATAGAGGTCGATTTTCTTCATCCGTGAAATGTTGATATTTATCACAGTTTTTAAGCCATGGTATACAAACACGTGCTACAGCATGATGTTTATTTTGTGAACAAATTTTTGGTTTTATGTTAAAGTACAGGGATTGATGCGAATCTTCAATCCCACTTATTTCGAATTTGTAAAATGAACTGCCATAAAGAGTCTCTTCCAGAACATCATATTGGGAATATGAATTCCATTTAGGTGCGTGAATTTTGACAAATCGTAAATCCGGATCAAATATGTCAATGCTGCAAGAAAACTGTAAAAAGGAGAAAGATATAAGCTTTCTTTGCCTATTAAAAAATAATAATTATAAGTTACCCTTTTTCTTGTTGGGTTGAATCGTAGGATAATATGAGTCCACGAAGGATATGTGTCTTTAAGCTTGTGTAAATCCAGTTTAATAATAACTTTATTGTCACCTATTGTTGGTATTCTTGTTATATATTTGGACAAAGATAATGCTTTTTTACAATATCGCATGCCTTCGTTAAAATCAATTGCGGCACATCCCATTAGAAAATTTTCATCATATTCAATATTAACAGCCACAACTGATAAATATTTATGATGAGGTGAATCAGTCAGCCGAATCATTTGAATGACGGTTTTATTAAGACCATCATTATATGATTTGCTAAAAACACGCCTTGAATCTTCTTCCCATTCGATTACTCCAATTCTAGCTGGAGGTAAATCAATTTCTCTCATGCGATGTCCATAATCTGGTTTTAATAAGAAATGTTTTGCCTTCGCTAAACGAATTGACTTGTCTTGTGTAAATTGTTGAGCAAATCTTTCATATTTTCGATTAGCAGAATATGGTGTTATTATGCTGTGTAAAAATCGGTTAATAACTAATACAAATTGAAGACACCAAACTGAACAAAGATGATCGGTTGTTACCCAAACATTTGGTATGGCTGTTGTTAACGTATTTAAATCGCTGAACTTAGAACTTGTCAGTCCTGAGTGAATCATAAAATCTCTTGAACCTCCTCCAATTGATATTATTAGTTTATCATCTAGGGATAATGACTCATTTTTGAGATTTTTAGTTGCAAAAATTCCAGTACAATGATTAGTTTCGTTGTTAGTTATTTGAAAACTTCTATTTGTTTCAAAATATTTATTAATATTTTTATAAAAATGTGCAAAATAGTAGTCAATATTTAACACAGGTTCATCAATAGGTGTAGCTATAGTTATAATAGTATTAATCAATGGTGAAACATCATCATGGGCCAATAATGATTGAGCTATTTTACCGCCCATCGAATGACCAATCAATGTTACTTGTGTAGGTTTATTTGAAAGTTTACTATATAAGTTTAAAACAGCAAATATACTAGCCTTTACAAAATCTCTTTCATTTTCAAGATATCCACCAAATATTCCATTATATTCTTCATTGAAATCAATTGAAAAATAATCCAAATGTTGATACCAACCATTATCTAGACCTTTTCTAATAGCAACTGAAGCCAATGATCTAGCTTGCTTATATGAACCTGAATTCCCTGGTATAAAAATTACTGGAGCCCCAGTAAAATCCATTGAACGTGTACGTTCTGTAAGAGCACCTTCAGAATAAGCATATAATCCATATCTTTCATAGAATTTATTTGCTGGGAAATGAATTCTCACAAATTGTGGATATTCAAACATATAAGTCATACGACATCGATTTGGTTCATTTTCAAGTACTGCAAATAGTAAGCCATACAACAAAAATAAAGCACAAAATATTGAAATAATCACAATTATTATCCGAAACATTGAATTTTATATTAATCTATCTAACGTTTATAACATTAAAGACTGATTAGTAATATTCTTTTTTTAGAAATAGTAACAGAAAGTTTTTTTAAAAAAAAAAAAATTTATGTTATCATTTATTTATAAAATTTTAAAATTATATGCCGTGGGAATTGAAATTGCTTAAACAGCTGACTCTACAATAAATTTTTAATAACCCAATACACCTTATGGATTTGTTTATAATTTACTTTCTTCAAGGTTCTTCGATTTTCGAAATAAAATTATATTAAGGAAAGACAAAGGATATGCTTAGACAAATTATTTACAGTTTTATATAATATTGTGTATGTTAATAAGTAGGCATTTAAAAAATTGGGTAGTTATAATTAAAAAAATTTGGAGTTATTTTTTTTTCTAAAATTAGCTTTTCCTATTTAATTTTATAAACTCCTCAACGCTTTAATTTAAAAAAAGTTAATTTTCGCGATATATATTAACAATTTAGGTTTAAATATTATGTAGGTATTTCAATATAATTTTTATTTTTTTTTTTTTCAAAAATATTGTAAAAAAATATCAAAACCTTTTCAAAATTTGTTTCTCTTCATAATTACCATTAAATTCTTTCAGCACAACCCTGCTATTTGTCATTAAAACCTAATATGACAATATTGACAATGACAGCAAATTGACATAATTTTTATTTACTTTTCCAAATTAAAGTAAATTTCTGATTGGGACTTCATTATCCTACTAAATAATTTAATATTTAAGTTATTTTTGTATTATAAAAATGATTTTGATTGATTTCTCGTTAATAACAAAGTAAAAATTAAAATGACTCTAGTTCACAGAGCATTGTTCACATGGTTTATATTATTAGTTTTCCTTATACTATTATGTTTGCGTTTAGAACCGAAAAACCATTGGAATTGGTAATACATAGTTCATATTATAAATTCTATTATTTTCATATCACATAATTTATTTTACTATTTCAGGTTTATAGTTTTTATACCATTATGGTTATTTGATGCGATATTAATAATTTATATTATAATTAAAATAATAACTAAATGGAGAAATTTAACAAGACTGAAGGAACTTCTTGTAAGCTATCAACTTTATATAGCTGGTAAATAATAAGTCAATTGTCCATAGAATACTAAAATAAATATTGTGCATTCTAAAAATATTTATTAACAATATTATAATTTTAGGAGTATTATTAAAAATTGCATCTCAGGTGATGATTTGTCTTAAATTAGAATATACCCATTTAAATATCAGTATATTTGAAATGATGATACCAATTTGGGTTTTATTGCCATCAACTATAATATATGTATTTGTTAATTTAATTCAAAAATCTGATATTTCATTACAGATAACTTCTTAAAAATTAATTTAATATTAAAATTTTAAGTACGAATGTAAATTTTAAAATACAAACTTTATGTTTTAAAAGAAAGTATTTTGTTTTATATTTCATTTAATAACAAATTATTGTAGGTGGTTGATATCTACAATTTGTATCTATTAAATGTAATTTATTTTTCATAATATTTATTATGTTCTCACAATAAATTAATAATAAAAATAATATGAGATTCAAAAGTTTTGCTTTTTGGAATTCAGTATCAGACAAAAATATAAAAAAAAAAAAATCATCTTTGTTGATTCTCTCAATTTATATTCAATAAGATTTTATTTGAATAAAATAAAATCTTATATAAATATAAGATGTTGCCAAAAATATAAAATGCATTTATTTTTCATCTAAAATTATAATAATATGAAAACAAAGCAAATTTTTGAAAAATATTGAAAAAGATTTTTGTTTTAGCTTTTCAGATTATAAAATTTTACCATAATTATGAAACGATAATAATAACGGTAAGATTTATATTATGACCATATAAAATTAAAAAAGCTTTTTTTTTTCTATATTTTAAAAATTCAAAGTATATTTCTTAATAAGTATTTTACATAATTCGCAACTTTTATAAAAATTTATCAAAAATTTATTTATTTATTTCTTTAAATTTTGCCGTAGATATATGGAAATCATTGTCAGAGACAAAAGATAAGATGTTTGTTTATCTGACCTATTATTCATTTTCAAATCAAAATTCTAATTTATTTTAATTTTTATATGTTATGTTTTTACAGTAAAATTATTCAATTTCTCAAATTCAATGGATTTACGCCATTTTTCTAAAAATATTAAAATTTAAATTTGTTACATTCAAAAACAGTGAATACAGATTAAATTTTGGATAAATTTTAGAAAAAAAAAATGAAATACGCATTACGGAAAAATTTCTTTAACTTGAAAATTTCAATAGGTAGGGTATATGAAATTAACATAAGATTCGACTCGGGCGAGTTGAAAAGTGAGATTACAAAGATATTGTTTTTGATTCTGATTCATTTTCTTCTCACTCGATGAGTAAAAAAACGAGACACACAATTGACACAATATTGTGGTCTTAAAAAATTAATTGCTCTCAAATTTATTAAATTTATTCGAAACTACTTATTATCAGATACATACTTTGGCTCATACATACATACATTCATACAATACACATTATTTGCTATTAAAGAAAATTTATTTTTCATTTCTGTAGAATTTTTTTTTTTTTGTGGGAATTATTTCACTCTTTTATATATAAAGGAAAACTTTGCCTCTCATCATAATCGCATTTGAAAAAAACAAATTTTTCCTATACAGATTTATAGAAGATACCCAAAAAAAAAAAAAAAGAAAACAAAAAATATTTTAAAACTTAAAATAAATACTTTAATATTTTATCTCTCGCTTTTTTTGGTTTTTGTTTTGCTATTTTTTTTTTTTCTGTTGTTCTTGTGCTTAAATTTACTCTTGTTCTTAAACACAAAAAACAAGTCCATAATACATGAACTTTTTATTTTTTTCATATTTTTCGGTTTTTTTTTGCTCCTCAGTCAGTGTCAAAATCGATTTTTAAAGGGTGAGTTTAGCGCATACTCACAATATTACCATAGAATAGCAAGGAAAAAAAAAAAATAAGAAAAAAGTAAAAAGAAAAAAAAATTTTCCTTTCAAATTAGTTTTTCAATTTTGTGGGGAAAATAAAATTACAAAAAAGAAAAAAAAAATTTTTTTCATTTCATTATAAAATTCGATTTTTTCCCTTAACTTCTAAATTTTTTTTCTAATGGTAAAAAAGCACAATAATAAATAAATAAAATATAAAAAAATATAATAAGAAAAACAAATAAAATCACGGTAAATAAAGTAAAATAAAATTTAAATTTGAATTAAAATTGGTAAAAAAAAAAGGCAATAATACGCGATAAGTAAAATTAATTTTAATTTTTTGATAAAGGTAAAATAAAAATTTTTAAATTAAATTTTCGATAATTACGGAAAAAAAGAAAAAAATTCCAAAAATTTTTTTTATTAATCAAATAAAAAAACAAAAGTAAACGCAAAAAAAAAAAACGCGGTCTCGTTTTCTACATTTCTTTTTTTTTTTTATTTTATCCTTTTCTTGGTAAACGAGAAAAAAGAGAAAAAAGAAGGAATTTTCGATCATAAAATCAATTATTTTTTCTTTCTTTCTGGCTCTGGTTATAACAATAAAGAAATTTTATTAATATTTAATATTTTTTTATTTTTTTTTTCAAAATTAAAAATATTATAGGTAAAATAAAATCAAATAATAATAATAAAATTAAAAGTGTTCTAAAATTATTGTGTAATCACATAAAAAGCAAAAATAATAAAAAAAATTTGTTTTTAAATAAAATATAAGTGAAATTAAATAATAAAAGCATTTTTGTCTTTTAAATTCAACCTACACATATATATATATATACATACAAATTGTATATATATACACCTATAAATATAAAATATAAATAATTTTTCTGATATACATAATAATAATATACATAACTTTGTGTGTATATCTATAAAGCGAGAGGAGGGTTGACAATATTTAATAAAAATATTCAACATATTCAACTATATACATATATATATACTATATATTTAATAATATAAATAATATATATATAGTGTACAATAAATAAATAAAATAAATAAATAAATAATAATATTTATAATATGTATACATAATAATAATAATAACAACAACAAAAAAAAAAAAATAAATAAATAAAATATTTAACAAAATAAATAAAAAATTCGAAATTCGAAATTTGAAAAGAAAACATTTTTTAATATTTTAAATAAAATATAATATATATTAATATAATCGCAACATTATATATCGAAAAAAAATTTTTAAAATAAAATAAGAAAAAAAAAACAAAAATCATATAAGGAATCAAAAAAAAAAATTAAAATGGCAGCAAACACAGGAATTGTATTAAAATCATTATCAATTTTATTGGGATTATTTTTTGTATTTGTTGGTACATTAAAATTAACACCAGCAATTAGTAAAGATTTATATAAAGATTTGGTAAGAATTATATATATTTTAAATTATAATTTATATTTAAATTGTGATCTTATGCTTATATTTATATTTTATATTGACTTTGAATATAATCTGGCAATACCATAATATACAATTTATTTGAATTATTAGTTGTTATTTACTGAATTGTGTGACAATAAAATATAAACGGTATAATTATAATTTTATAGTCATATTATAGAAAAATAAAAATATATTAAAATTAATTTTTTCATTAAATTTCTTACAATTAATTTCTGTTATATATTCAATATATTACTGTTATATTTTGTTATTTTTATTATACTATTATTAAAAGAGAAATATTTTAAATAATATATTATTCAATAATTTCAAATATTTTAAATATTCTCATTTTAAGCATTTTTTGATTACATTATTTTATAGCTATAACGAATTCATTTTATATTTGCTACGAATGCAACAAAACATTGAATATTTTAAATTCCCTGACATGAGAATTTTAGTAACCCCTGACTTAAAAATTGCTTATAATAATAAGCGGTTGTCCTGTTTTCAGAATTACTGCAATATATTATGGTACTATAAAACACAATTCAGCTTTTGAATTGTAGACTATACTTAGTTTTAAGGTATAGGTTAAGTTACAGTAAAGTTATACTGTGACATTTTATGAGCGCTTATTGCAGAATTTTGTTATAATTATGAAAATCTTATAACATTGATTGCCAATTTGTTGCCTGAAAATACGAAAAATTACATGAGAAATAGTAAATAGATTTAAAAACAAAATAAAATATAATAAAAGTGTAAATTACCTTGGATGCGATTTTGTGTTTTGTTTATGTACTACGTGGGAACATGAATTAATGTGTACGTGTTAAATATATATTTTATACGTGTATCATTCTTAGCAATTCCGTTACCATCTTGAGTTCTACAAGTATAAGTAAAAATACAGCTATCTTGTTATTCCTTGTATTTTATTTTAATCATACCATATTTTCATTGTTTATAAATTATAATTTTAAAATTTAAATTATAATAAAATTGTAATATATACAATAAATTTTTCATTTTATAATTTATTTGTGCATTAATAAAGTCACATTGCAGATATCTGCATATATATATTAATTGCAGATGAATATTGTATATAATGTAAACGTGTACAATAAGAAAATGTCATATAAATTTATTAGAATTTTACTTGTATATATATGAATTTTAAATTATGCCTCAAACAATATTCTTAAATCTATAAAAGTTTTCATTTTTTGTACTAGAATGTTTTTTGATAATACATGCGTGTGTGTTATGCCAACTCATACGTATACATTTTATATGAATTTACTTTCATGCACGTCTTATGAAAGCAAATTTTTGGAAAAAGAGTTTTAAAAATTTAATATTATTGATTTCTTTCGTTTCTGGTTAATTGAAAAAAATTATTGATTCAGTGAGTTTCTCTTAGCGGAACACAATCATTTTAATTTTGAAATTTCATACATAATATTGGTTATTCAATAATAAAGAAAGGTCTATAATAATTATTCTATTAAAAAACTTAACTCAAAATATTCAAGGTAAATTTAAAATTCCAATATCACTATGTTGCTGTAGCTATACAAATACAATACAAAAATTAAAATTCTTCATCTGCAAATAATATATTTTAAAATTATAGTAATAATAACTGCACTATAATAAACAATTCAGCTGATGAAGTGTAATTGCTGAATTGTATATGACTAACGTTATCCTATAATTAGGATTTTAATTTTCATAATTCAGTTCATAATTTGTGATTGCTAGAAATGCTCTTTCATTATCGTGCTAAAAAAATTTGTGAGGGCTCTTGTAATAATTAAGAATAGTGCAAAATTCTTTCCGCATTTCACATTTCATTTCATCCTTATATATATAAATTTTTAATTTTTGAAAGCATAAAAATTTTTCTCTTCTTCTGGTGTATTGGAACGTGAACGAAAAAAATATAATAAATTTCATTTGTAGGTATTACACGTATAATTCTTAGATACTAACTGCAGAACGATTCATACATGCAACGTTGTTATATGGTTGAATTTCTATTTTATAGCAAAGTTAAAGTAAAAAATTTTATGTTCGAGTACAAAATAAAAAAAAATTAACATATTTTTCTACTTAATAGTTTTAATTATATATTATATGTAGATGTATATATATATATATATATATATATATATATATATATATATATATATATATATCTACATATGAATATGCACATATACTACATAAATATTAACATTATTTGCATGTACACAATGTATGTTGTCAAACACAAGATGTCTAGCATTTAGTATAACATTAATTTTAAAAATAAATTTATCTTTAGACCTGAAATTCTTTATTTTAAAAGTAAAAAGAGAAAAAAATTTATTTTTTTTTTTTAATTTCTCATTTTTTTTCTTATTTCTTAACAATTTTTTATATTCATTCATTTTATATATCATGCATATGGTGACAATATTTTGGCTGTTATGTTAGGCCTTGATGAAGGGTTCTTTTAATAAATTACTGCACAAAAATAAAGTAAAATATATATTTACTAGGTAAATAAATAAGATATATAAATATATATATATATTTGAATGTAATAGTGTATTCTGTATTGCGATATGATTGTATATGTAGGTTTTTTGGATTTACAGTTAAAAGAAAAATTATAAAATTTAATGAATTACTTTAAGAGTTCATATTGCAATTTTTATATTAATAGTTTTGATAATTAACCCCAGATAAAATAATTTTATAGCAAAAAAGAAAAATAAACATCCTTTTAAAAAAAAATTTGAATTAGAGTGTAGATTTGAGTACAATAATTAATTTTTAATAAAATTAAATATTTAGAATAATAATTTACATGACATTTATTCTTCAAAAGTAATATAAAATAATGACATTTCTGTAGATATTTAGCTGGTTAAATGGAAAAATTTGCAATAATCATTGAAGAAACGAATAAAATTTATTGAATATTGAACTGAAACGGAAGACCCAACTAAATTATAATACCTATGTAGTACAATTAGTGTTTTTTTATGAATTTTTAATATATCTGAATTGTAATTGGAAAATCTTGCAATAATTACCAAAATGCGATTACAAAATTATTCCGGAAGCATGTGTTCGTTTAAAATTATTTGAAAAATTTCTTGACTTCCAAAATGCTATAATACTAAATTGTACTAATATACAACTCACTAATTCACCCCTATTAGTTTAATTGCTAATTAATATTGTATTATAAATATTCCGAAATGCAATAATACGGTATTAATTGTACAATATCAATACACAATTCAACAAATCTTCCTTATCTCTCTTAATGTTTTATATATTAATCTCAATTGCCTATTAATATTCTTATTATTGAATTTTTGGAAATCATGGATTTTATATACATAAGTATAAATTTAATAATTTATGTTTTATAAAACATTATAATTCATTTCTCATTTATTCAAAATATATTTATCATTTCATTTATAAAATTTTGTTTATATTGTCATTAATTACTTAATTCATAACAGCATTTTCAAAATCTTATTTAAAGGGTGTGTAAAAACGTACAGTATAAAAACATCGAGTAATTTACATTGAAATATGAATACAGTGTTATTAACATGTAAACAAATTCAATTATTTATTATTATGGCAATTGTAGGTATAAAATTAATGAATATTGTTATGTTAGTAATGATGCTGTCTACTTAAAAGCTAGCTGGGCATTTAAACAAAAATCGTATTTATAAAAAACAACGATCATAGATGTCTGATTATTTGGGTACTTTTCATAATACAGATCTTACGTCTATTTGATTTATTGAACGATTCAATTTTAATTGTCGAATAAGTGAAATTAATGTTAAATTTACATTTTTGGTTTTGGTAAATGTCATTCTTCAATAATTTTACTAATTAATATTTTTGTAATTTTGATTTAACGAGGTTCTTGTTGAGCAGGACACCTCTTCTAAAAATTGTTAATATTGAATCTAAAAAGATAAGCAAAACTTTTATATATTCCAACACAAATTATATTCTAAATTACACTTACTCATCCTTATCTTTAGACCTGGTATTAGTTCACAGTTCTTCAGATTTTTTTTTCGTCATTATTTAATGTACATATGCACATACATATGTTTCATACTGTGCACAATCATATTTTAATATTGACATATCTGGTACTTTTCTGGGAAATATCAAAATTTTCCTTATAATACCTTGTAATAATAAACTTAAAGCCAAACATGTTGATTCTTTTTGCTCTTATTTTTCTTCATATTTTATGATATAAACATTTTCCAAATCGATAAAATCTATAAAAGAAAATGAAAATAAAATATTAATCAATATTAAAATTGTATATAGACTGCTATATAAGTATACATACCCATATTCTTAAATGTATACTCTTAATCGTAAATTATACACACCTCTCTATCTACATGAACGATCGATATAATCTTAATAATGCTATTTTTAATGTGCTTTGCTACATGAACATTTTCAATATGTGCTTTTTTTTTCTTGTTATGCTTAAATAAATTTCCCAAACTCTTTAAATTTAAATTGGAAAAGTTGAAATATTATAAAAGTGTTTCCGTTTGATGTTGGAAATATCAATTAAAGGAAAAATCGCAAGAAGAAAAAATAATAGAATAAAAAAAATTATTTATTTTTTTTTCTTTCAATTTTTAATATGTAGATGTTCCGAAAACTTATGCTATGATACTTATTCTTTTTTAATTGAAATTTGTTTGTTTTTTTATATATGTAAATTTATAAAGAGCGTGTTAGGGATGAATGCTGGCCTTCCGATCTTCTTTTCAACTACATCAACTAAATTGTTGAGCATATGTTTAGCATCAACTTGACTTATTCAGCATTTCTAATTATGTCAAGGTGCTTTGTCCATTAACTTGAGTTTATAAAATTAGGGATTTGTATAAACACAATACCGCAATAACCGTGAAACGCAATACTGCAAAAATATAACGTAATACATTAAAAATATAAATGTGTTATAAAAAATCAAATCTTATAAACTATGATTTGCCTGCGCTACTTATGCAAATTTTGTTGTATTGCAAAACATGGCTTATGTTTATGATCAAATTAGGCTAGTAACATTTGTTTATGAAAGAAATTGCAGCGCAGTTATCGTTATATATAATATTGCAATATACTGCGTTTATGAAAAGGCCTATAATTTTAAAACTATGTTCAATGATGATAGGTCTGTCTAGATTGAAATTTCAATATACCACATTTTAAACCCAATTTTCTAATTCTATATTGCACTTGTTCATATTCGTAATACATACTTTTAAATAATCGCATTCCGTAGAGATATTAATATTAAATTCCTTAAGTACTAAATTTTCTTTCATTAAAGGAGGGTAATTTGCAATTGGTCTCCATAATTATTTGAAATTATATTTTCGGATATAAAAATGAATAAATTTTTTTCAGTATATCTCATTTCCTTTTTTCTTTCAATTGAATTATACACTTACATCGCTTATATAAACAAAATGTTAATAAATTTCAAAAAAAAAAAAATAAAAAATAAAGAAAATATATTCAATTTTATAATTTAATTTGAAAAAAATATGCATATATTTTTGTATTACACTTTATTTTTTAATTATTATAAAATTTCTATATGAATCATTTTCTTTTATATATTAAGAGAAAAATATCTTGAAAATTGAAAAAAATACATTACGTTGTCTTTATGAAAATATCAATTTACGTAAGTATATGACACTTTTTTGACACATTTCGGGTTTACATCACGTCGATTCAAAGAGGGGATTAAAGAAATTTCGAGAACAGCACTGTCGTAACGTCAAATTAAGTTCAAATTTACTTTAATGAATATTTTAATTTTCTAATTAGATTATTTAATTTTTCAATTAAAAAATTTAATTATATCTGATATTATTACTCGTTTTCGTTATATATTAATTTATTTATTTCACTCTATTAAATCCAAATTATACCATTGTAGGTCATAGACATTTACATTTAGAGTCATAAGCACATACAATGACATTAGGCTTCCATACTTCAAAAAAAAAAACGTTTTCAATGTAATGTTTCATGTTCCATATTGTACATTAAAAGTATGCGACGATGTAGTAAGTTCCACATTACTTGGAAACCGTTTTGAATATACGCAGAAGAAAGCAGAGAGCATCACGAGCAGTTTCTCGATGCTTTTTATAAATTTTGTTTAAGCGGTGCTACCATTGAATGTAAAATTTATTAAAGTCTTACTGTTTGTTAAATATTTAAACATTATTTTGACAATCTAGTATAAAAAAGCGAAAAAGTTTAAAAGCGGTTTAAAAATGGTTTAAAAACTGTTTTAGTTTTTACAATATGGAAGTCACCCTATTTGTAATAATCCCCTCTATTATGTACATCGGTATCGGCCGATAAACGATAATTTATCGGCAAAATTTTGTGTTTGTATTACCAACATTGTTTATCGGTAAATTTTATCGGAGTCGGGAAAGCTTTTTTTCCTGTATAGGAAACGTATTAGCTGGTATTATGAAAACGATAAATTGTCGGATTTTCACCGATTTAAAAGCGGGTACAAATTTTTAGACGACAGATTTTTTTTTTTGTAAAATCTTCATTTTATCAAGGAAACTGGTGTAATTAATTGCTTTTTTAAAATGTAAGCATTTTTTTCTAAATTATTCTCTTTCAAAATGTTATTCATATATTTTATTTAGGAGTAAAATCGTAAGCAACAAAAAACAAATTGCGCGGTTAGTAGAAAAAATGGAAGAGGACTTAAACCTGGCAAGGAATGATAATCTGAAATTCTGGATAAACCTAAAAAATGCGTACATATTATATAAATAATAAAATAAAATAGGTACATAAACATACATTTTGTTGTCTAAATCCAATGGATTAGTTGAATCTCTTATATGTCGTCTTTGAATAGCTTGCGTTTCTTCACTTACTATCGTTTCTTCACTTTCAAAATATAATGCACGCGACATTTTCCCGATATACATAATATGTATATTTTTATTTTACAAATTTAACAGAAAATAATTTGCTTACAACAACTTTTTAGCACATCAAAACACAATTCAAAATAGTTTTAAAAATTTTTTGAAAATAACTTTTGAAAGAAAACAAATGTCATTAGAAAAAAAAAAATTTTTTCTCCAATTTACAAAAACAAAAATTTGTATGAAAAAGCTTCTTTTGATCGGTTGAAATATTTTTATCGGTATCGGTTCATAATACAGAAGAAACTTAAAACCGATTAGAACTGCCGATAATATATCGGCCGATACCGATGTTCATAATAGAGGGGAATATTCATATTTCAAAAAAAATTATTGACGCGTGTGAATGTGCGCGAATTGTTATAGTTTTAATAATTAAAAAAAAAATATTTTAGCCAAAATAAATAAAAAAAAAATTAATATATTTTTCAAAATTTCATTTTTTTTATACACATTACAATATGTATGTGTGTATAACGTATATCTATAGAACAAAAAATTTTGTGACATGATGAGTTGAAAAAATGAAAAAGAAGTGAATAAAAAAAAGTGGAAAAATAAAATTCACTTGTTTCCTATTAAAATTTTTTTATTATAATGATTTTTTATATTTGTTATACATATAACAAATATTTTGTTTTTCCAAAATTTTTTATTATTCTTAATATCCATATGCTAAATAGACACATTTCCTATAAAAAAAAAAAATAAAAAAGAAAGAAATCATTTATTTATACTAGATTTATTTTTTATATACAAAAAAATTAATTATGTAATTTTATAAATTTATTTTTTTTTTAGACAAAAAGTCAAAAAACTGATCCTCTTTTCTTTTCTTCTTTTTTTCATTTTTTGTGAGGTCAAAAATTTTACTGAACTTGAAAATATTTAGTATATTCATTCAAATATAATTATTGTAACACTTCCCACCACACCTCTCTATTCGAAAAAAAAAACTATTTTTACAATAATAATCCAGTATAGCAGACCAGTAGTGTGATTGCTATATATTATAATTAAATTAAAAATAGATTTTTGTATATTATTTATTTTATTTGAAATTCTCTTGTTTTTTTGGAAATATTTACTTGTATAAGAAAAAAAAATTTTCCTACATGGGAAAATTATTAATTTATGTTTGTGGAATGTGGTTATTTTTTTTTTGTCTTTGGCATTGTACGGAGGGAAATTTTTGTAGGAATTATATAGCAGCGGAAAATATAAAAGGAAATATGTAGCTATTTTCTTAATTCTATAATATTATTAATGGAATTTATAATGGAATTACAAATTGTGGTAGGTAATGAAATTATGAATAAAATATAGTACTGCTATAATAACCAAAAAAAACATGGGTTTTTTCCTGTATGTCAAAAATTTGACGATCATATTAATCGCTCGATTTTATAAATGACAATCATCTGCAATTATAAGCAATTTTCGCAGTTGACATTTATTAAAAATAATTTCAATAAAGCAGAAAATTTTAAATTTCAAAATTAAAAGGTTTTCTTCATCTTTCATTTTATCACATATAAAAATAACTTATGCATCAGCCTCAGAAATGCAAATAAATAATTTTTTAATAAAAATAATCAGTTTCGTATAGGCAACGTATATTCGAATTTATAACGCGTATACGTCATACGTTGCGGCGATAGAATTCATGATTAAAATCGGTAAGTTGTACAAATTTAATGTAAATTTTGAGTTATGTCAGTGTTGTAGCAATATAGTAACCTATTTTTTGGGAAATTTCGAATTGTGAAAATTATTCAAAATCTACTACATTTACTAAATATGTATTTTTGTACAAATTATTAACGATGGCAGTTTGTATATTGAGACATCGAGTTCTTCATCTTTAGTATATAGTGGCCAATAAATGTCAAATAATTTCTAATTAACAATTATTATTCTTTAAATAAGAAAAATTTCAAATTTAAATCAAGGAATATTATTTATAATTGTTTATTTTTCAATATTATTAAATTGTATCTGATTTATGTTATTTGTCAACAATTTTTGAGGAAGCTTTATAGATATTTTTATTTATCATTGAAATTTCATTTCGAAATTATGATGTGAGCATAATACAGAGATTTACGATCTAATTTATTATTATTTTACAATGGTATAATTGTATTGAAAAATTATAATTTTTCTTGTTTTTTAAATTTACACACACACAATATCCTGCTTAATAATAATTTTGATTTATTATAACATAAAAATTATTTTATTATAATTATTTCCTTCATATTCATAAAATTTAATTTTTATTTGACGTAAGTTTTCAGAACAATAATTATTAATTTAATTAATTATAGAAAAATAATATTAAATTTAATTAATAAAATATTTTTGTAAAAATATTGAAACATTATTATATTTGAATCCAAAAATTTTATGCAACACTCTCAAAAATGCAAAATTTTTGTGAGATCATTTTCTGATATTTCAATAATATAAAAACAAAATTATAATATGAAAATTTTGAGATGAAATTTTAAAAATTTAAATATAATATATAAATATTTGGTAGGTGGTTAATATTGTAGATCTTTTAATATTTATAAAAATTTATTATCAACGAAATTTAAACAGATATAAAATGTTCATTCATATATATGTACATATATTTATAATGAGTGAATATATTTGTACACATAAATTATTGAGTAATATACAGTTGCAGAGTAGAATTGTGAATTCAATTAATGGTAAAAACAGAGCCAAAGCAGTTAACGACGAACATTTTCTGTTTTATAAACAGAACAACAGTGAAACGGCAAATTCAGCTGTTCAGTATTTTGCATATGCCATTCACACATAGAAACAGATGATCAAAAAATAGAATTTTCGTCATCATTTAAATTCGCAGTATTTTCTGGAACTTTCGTTATATTCTTAGCAGTCCCTTTTATATATGTTTTTTTCTATACAAATTTTGGGTATTACGCCACGAAAAATCGTTCTTGTTCTGTTTTCACTTAAAGGAAGGTATTTGACAAAGTTTTTTGAGTTCAACTACCAATGTTTATTAAAATTATAATGAAAAGATGAAAATTGTACATTCCCAAACTAAAATAAAATAAAATTTAATGGTGTTGTTAAATAAAACTCAAATCTAGCCTTAATATTCCATTTTTTTTCTCATTATGCAAAAAAATTTGAACGTATATTTACTTATTTACTAATGTAATATAAATATTGCAAAATAAATACATACTATTTTTTATTAATATTTGAAATCAAAAACATTTTCATTTTATTTTATAGCGTACAGAATATGTGAAATACGCAAAAGTATTTCCATTAACAGCTCTATTGGGATTTAAAATACCATCAAAATGGTATAGAAGATCAGTTGGTATTTTGGAAATTGTTTGCGGCCTTGCAATGGCTTTAATTCCAAATCGTAAGTGAATAAACAAAAATATGAAAATAAAAAAAAAGTAAAATTTTTTTACTAATTTATGTTTTTTTCATTTTATTTTTAAATATTTGCCAATTTTTTTTATAATTGTATATATTTATATAGATAAAGTAAAGAACACTGCCAATGTTACATTACTTTTATTGATGCTACTTGGTGTCTATCAGCATTATATGGTCAGTGATCCATTTGAGAGATCAGGACCAGCATTAGTCTTCACATTTATGTTAAGTGGAAGACTTGTTGTCTGGTATCAGGTTTGTAAAAAACAAAAATATTATTAAAATTATTTATTATTTGTTTTTTGTTCATTAATTTTTTAGTAGTTTAATAATTTTTCATTTTTTTAGTAGTTTTGTTATTATTATTAGTATTGAAGACTTGGTAAATTTATTTGTCAAGTTGATTTATTAACTAAAATTATGTTTTTTTTTCACAAGATTTTTAATAATTTGTATTATTTATTATTTTATAGTAAGTAGTATGTATGTATGAAAAGTTTTATGTTGAAATAAAATAAAATTATATTATAAATTATATAAAATTTAATTATTTTAATTTTCATTATTTTAGACTAATAAAAAAGAACAAGAATTAGGTGGAACACCACAAACACAAGCAAATGGAGTTAAACAGGATTAAATTGAATTTTATTTTTTTGAACCCTAAATTAATAATGAGCACACGCATAAATAAAATATAAGGAAAAAGACTCAAAACTAACAATAATTAAGGAAAAAAAAAAATTTAAAACGTACACTTGTGAGATTTTAATAATTAATTGACAAAAAAGGAAAAAAAAAATGAAAAAAAAAATCGCAACTAAACTATGATGACACAAAAAAAAGTAAAAAAAAAATTGATATAGCACTAAAGTATGCGCAACACCCACATATTTTTATATATTTTTTTTTATTTATATACAATTTATTTTTTTATTTTTTTTTTTCGTTTCTATATTATTTATTAGGTATTTATGATTTTTTTTCTATTTTTTTTTTAAATTATTTCCGAAAAATGAAAATTTTTAAATTAAACCCCTCTGAAAATTGATTTTGAATAACTTTTCTTTTTAAAACGAAAAATAAGAAATGTTATTAATTATTTACGAACGTAGGGCAATACTATATTATATATATTGAATGACGATTACTAATTTGAAAAGCAATAAAATTCCTAACTGAAAATATGAAAGGAAAATTAGAATTTTCAATAAACAAAAACTTGTGTATTCAAATTACTTATATATTGCATTTAACATAGGCCCCTGTCATCATTGTCACAAACAAAAAAGTGAATGCAAGAAAAAATGAGTGAATGATCAAAAGCTGCATTCTTCATTTTTCTTCAATTGGATGACAATAAAATTTCTTTCCGAATAAAATTACAACGCACAATGGTAACTATCATTCTTTAATGATGACACCAAAAATCAATGATAAGTTAAAAAAAAATGTGAATGATAAAAATAGTGATGACAGACCCTACAGCTTATATAATAAGGAATATAGCGTTCGCTTAAATGGAACGGAATCTTATTTTTAATTTTTAATTTTTTCAAATTAATATGATTATTACATTTGAATTGAAAATATGAATAAAATTAATCTTCAATGATTATTGATTTTAAAATATACGAAATTTTTTTGACTAAACGCATTTAATTAAAATAATAACGAAAAATTAATTAAAAAAGTACATAGATAATGAATAAATATTTTTCAAATATTAATATAAATATTTCAAATATCAATATTATCAATTTGAATATCCTTCAAACGTATTTCTAAAACCATAAAATAAATTCAATTCAATTAAATTTTAATAAAGAAAATTGCCCTTTTTAAATTCATATTTAATTCTAATATATAAAATTATTATGAATCTATAATGAATATTATTCTTTTCAGTTTATTAACAAAATAAAATTAATATAAAATGTATGATATTAAATTATATAAATAAGTAATTTAATTTCTATGCACAACAATATTATTGTATATTATGTGTTAATTGCTTTACACATTTTAAAATTATTTAAAGCAATATCTAATAATTATAAATAATATAGCTTATTATTCTCTAAAGTAAAATTGCATTTAAGAAACAAAAACAAACTTAAATTCTTATTAAAATTAAGTACAGTACATTTATTTAATTAAATTTTGAAATTCTTTTATTATTTAACAATTGTGTATGTAAATAATTTTTATTCTTGTAACTTAATAATTTTTTTTGTAAATTATTTCAATTTTCAAAAATTTAATTTTAAACAAGAAAACAATTTATATTAAAAATGTTAATGTAATAATAATATGTGACTAATATTAAATAAAATTTGTTTGGATATTGCATTAATTTGAAAAATATTTGTTCAAAATATATTGCACTTTATCTATTATAAATAATTTCGAAATATTTTTTGTTATTAATTTTAATAAATTCAAAATTATTTGAATATAATTTTTATAATTTAATAAAATATGGTATTTGCCCTATGTAATTAACATTCGTGATAGTTTTTTCTCTTTTCTGTTTTATTTATGTTTTTATTTCTATTTTATATTTTATTTAATTTTTGTAAAATTTCATTTTCTTTTTATTTTATATATTATTGCATTTCAAATACATAAATACAATATTTATTTTTAAATTATTCATATATATGTATAAAAAATAATTTATAATTTTTATGTAATCGGTTTCAATTTGAGTGCCAAAAATAAATAAAATAAAAAAAAAAACATTAAAATATAAAAAAAAATTGATAAAAAGATGCAAAGAACAACACAAAAAATAAAACTAAAATTAAAATTAAAGAAAAAAGAAAGTGAATAAAATAAATATCTTTTGTAAATAAAAATTTACTTCCTTTTTAAAATTGAATTTTTTATAAAATTATTTTTTTGTTTTTGTTCAAATATTTAATTTTTGTAACTATTTTATTTTATTTGTTTTTTGTCTTTTTTAAATATTTGTTATTTATTTATTTTTTTTCTGTTTATTTATTAATTTGTTTGTTATAAAATACTTATATATGAAAGGTAACTATAATAATTTTGCACTTAATTTAGCAAATTAAATGAGACTTATGTAATTTAAATTAAATGAAATTATTAAAATAAAATAATGAAAAAAAAATGATTGAAGCAAAAAAATAAAAAATAAAACAAAATTAGAAAAAAAATTTTAATGTTAAAAATATGGTTTTTTTTTTGTATTGTTTGGAATAATTTTGTCCTGTCTTTTGTTATAATTTTAGGAAAAATGATTTGAATTCTATCGAAATACTTACTTACTATCTTGTATGTTATAAACCAAGAATCAAATGTTTAAAAGATTCATTTGATTTATTATTTAAAATTACAATTTTTATTTGATACACATGAATTGGCTGAAAAACTAAGGATATTTAGAAAAAAAATATTTTATTTCATAAAATCCTGGTTAAATTTTATATATACATCTATACTCTGTTAGTCGCATTACTTCAACACGATTGGCTGTTATTCAAATATTTTGTAATTTTCTGAATAAAATCAATGAAAACAAAAATGCTTTTCAATTAAGTATATCCCACCAATTCAAGTGAGGCGACTAAGCGAATATGGGTGGAAGTGTTTGAATTATTAATCATTGAAATTTTCATTATAAAAGATATAATCTTTTAAAAACTATTTATTTTTTGATTTCTTTCTCCTTCTTAATTTTTTCTTGGTAATTTCTACATATTTTTATTGTATATAACAATAAAACTTTAACACCTAACAAAAATGAATTATAAAAATGTTTTTCAATGTTAAAAATTAACGTTACTCTTTCTATATTATTTACAATATGTGTATATAAATAAATTCTGTAATTTATGACGAAAATATTTCAGAAAAAAATCCAAAACAAGTAATTTTATCTATTAAGCGTGCTTATTTTTTTAATAATCATAAATATAAATTAAAATTATAAGAACATACAACTTTTTAACAGTACATAAAGTTAGAACTTATTTTTTTTTCCAAAATTTTTGATTTAATACAAATTTTATTAGAATACTTAATGATTTCTAATTTAAATCCTCTCCGGTTGTTAAAAGATGTAATGTTTTTCTTAAAATTTCAATTGCTGCTGGAACATCATCAAAACTCAAGGCACTACCAGCATGCTTACAATATTTTTGTGCTTTTTGCATTTGTTCCATTGTTAATTCAACATTTGCTGGTGGTGGAACATAATTAGATTGTGGTTGTTCTGGTGGAATATATGGTATAAAACCACCAGGATTTTTTTCTTCTTCTTTTGGAGGATTTGGTAATTTTGTTGGATCATTTAAAACTTCTTCAGCAGATGGCGGAGGATTTTCAAATGAAGTTGGATCTGGAGTGACGGGTTCATCAATAGATGGTGGAACTGAAAATCCTATTGCACTATTATCACTATTTTCCGTATTTTGATCAGGACTTTCATTATCTTCTTGCATTGGTCCTGGAATTGGTGTTTCACCATTTTTTAAACAAGTATGAATATAAGCAGCCTTCCATTTAGCATATTTTCTATTATGAATTGCTTCTTCACTTAATTCACCAAATGTTTGAAGAATATCATAAATAATACTACTTGTATAAAATGCTTTGACGACGTTCCTAAAATGAACATATTATTTGAAAAAATGTACTTAATAGAATAATGTTAAGTGTGACATTTTATTTTGTCTTACTTTCCAAAATTACTATCCCTATCTTGTTTATCAGCATACTGAAATAGTTTTAATGCATAATTTTCCAAATGAGCTTGAGCAACGACTTCATTTGTAATAGCTTCATTTTCACTGTGTTCCTTCTTTGTAGCTTCTAGCCAATCCATTAAACCTTAAAAAAATATTTAAAATTGTAATTTGATTACAAAATCGATATTTTTTTTAATTTACCCAACAGTAAAGCTGTCTCGTCTGGTTGTTTTGAAGATGCTTTCATTCCGACTTGTAGGCCATACAATCTTGCCCAATAACTAACAACTACGTCTCTTTCATCATGTTCAGAAGCTGCATATAATAATATTTTTAGTTGAATTCATCATATAAATTTATTGATTTTGAAATTTTTGTTCTAAACTACGCGTATAATTCTTTGCATCAATATGACTCACCTATTTTTAAATATGATTGAATTTGCTTAAGTGATGGAGGAACTGGCGGTAAATTTACAGACATTCTTAGGAGTCAGATTAACTTGTCTAAAGTAAGTTAAAGTTGATTAATTTTTATATAAATTAATAAAACCGTAGTTGATAAAAAGAAAATGCTTATACAAAAATAATAACTTTGTTAAAATGATATCACCCAGATAGTGACATATGTCAAGAATAATGACAGTATGTTGGTAATTTTTATGGCAGGGATACTACTGAAAATATATTGAGAGCAATACTAATTGGATATACATATATGTCATATTTACCAAAGACACGAACCGATATAAACAAAATTATTTTGTGTTTTGACAATTTTAGCGCGCGAACATATATCATGTTCATGGAAGCTTTTAAAAAAAGCAAACGGCAAATTATTTACTTTGGATCATAAATTAAGTGTTCATTGTGGAAAAATTAATTAAAATAAAAATTTTATGTTAAAATTACGTAAACATTTATAATCTATAAACTAAAAATAGCATAACAGTAAAATTGTAGTGCTATGTTATAAAAATGTTAAATTGTATACAATGTTATAAAAATGCTGGGAACTGGATTTTAAAAAGCAAAAAATTTCAATATAATCACATTCAATTTTAAAGATGCATACTTATTAAAATGAATCCAAAATAAGTCAGGATTAAATTCAAAATGGCGAGGATAAAAATAATTGGTTGTTTATCTAGAACGCACAAATCTTCAAATGCACTCCTACATAATGTACGAACGTATATGCACTCCCATACACAAACATATTCATACATACATATGTGCAGCTCCCAATTGGCAAGTCTCAAGATTGACATAGTGATTACTTTAAGCATTTATATTGAGTTTCTTTTTACTAAATTCATAAAATAAAAAAGGTGAGTATTTTTTGGGTAACATAACACGATTTTCTGATTAAACTGATAAACTTTTCTGACCGAACTGGTATAAAATTTAGGGCAGTATAACAGAAACATAACATATCTGAACAGATTATGCTTTAAATTCATTGTGCCTTTATCAATTTCTATTGCAAAACTCAAATTTGTCTAAGGAACTAATACTTTTACAATTATACTGGTTACTGGAGATTTCTTAATGATTATTGTTTCTTATGTGGTATTGTATTATACCTAACGAAGATATCTTAATATTATTGGTGGTGTGGTAAGTAGAAATCAATTAGAAATGATTTAAAAATAGTTAAACTATTAAATTGTTTTTATGTTATTTAAATATGCAAAATTGTATCATAAGATTCTTAAACATTTTGATTATTTAACTGCAAATAAGCTTAAATTTTCCTTATTTTGGTCGTTAACTTTATCATTTTACTAAAATAGTAAATATAAGCTAGCAGAAACTAAAGTTAAGGGTACATAATTACAATAATTCCATACAATTAGTGAAGATTTCAATATTCTTTTCGTAGATTGCAATTAAGTTTTTGTATAATTTTTTTTTGGTTCCCTCTTGTTGCATGCAATACACGATCAATAAGTAAAATTCCAGAAAATTGGTAAGATTCTTAAAATAATATAATAAAATGTAATAATATGTTATTATATTTATAATATGTTTTATATAATATTATTGTAATTCTTGTATTTCATGCCATATTTTATTATAAACCATATTTTTGAGGTGTATGTAATATGCTATCATATCATTAATAGGTATGCTACCATAAAAATACTATTAACCATGGATTTTATAAAAATATCAATTTTTTTTTCATAAATTAGCAGGTGCATTAATTTAATTAAAGAGTGTTAAATTATGGTTTCATAATATTTTTCCACAATTATGCTCTTTTATATTTTTAATACGACACTTTTTCACGAATTCACTTACAATGGGATATATATCTTCACCTTAATGGAATCTTCACTTCAATGGATCAATTACAATAGAAACTGAATTAATTTATATTGTATGGAATTTTTATGATTATTGTTTGTAAGGAATCCTTAATAATAGAATTAACCATGAATTATTAGCACAACTTTTATTGTTATTGTTATTACCATTATTATAGTTTCTTTTTTAAAAATTGATTTTATTCTAATTATATACCACTTAAATAAAAACCTTTAATTCTAAAGATCAATAAAATCTACAGAGATTTTGTTTTGTTTGAGAGATGTTATTTTGTTTTATGCTATTTTTAAAATATGAAATCTAGAAATACACAATAAGCGTACCTATGTGGATTTTATATGTACTTACAAGAATTGTTGTAGATGCATTATTGTGGTCATGAGAAATTAACTAGTTTTAATCTTTTTCTGTCACGACATTTTAAATTAAAGAAATATTAAATGGGAATATAAAATTGAAGAAAAAATTAAAAAGAAGATAGAAAAAGACTTTTATCACTTCTGAAAGGAAACATTTTCATTTTATGTGATTACATTTTGAAAAGAAGCTTATAATGTCATCGCTATTTAGATTTTATGACTTCTTTCTTCTAAGTGTATCCCTTTTTATTTTACATATTTTCGATTTAAATTAACTTAGCTCAAAAATTTGCAATGATTATACATACTTACATTACTTTTTGTTTTGTAAAAATTCCATTACATATTTTCTTTAATTACTAATGGGGCATCTTACTCATCTGCATAAAAATTAAATGTATTTAAAACCATTCTTGTTGGAATTCTCAAAAAAAAAAATTATAGAAAAAATAATTTTGTATTAAAATTTTGTTGTTTTGTTTTATAGCTTTTAATGATATGTATGTATGTATTTTAAGGATAGGTTGGCTATCAATAACAAATAAGTACTTATCTTACTCACTCGTAGAAAATTCCTTCAAAATCCTTTCTTATGTTCATTTGGATTAGTGTTATGAGAAATAGCATAGCAAAAGAGTACTTAATTCTCAGATCATGAGCAATTTGTTAACTATATTTTTGTATCATTCAATGTAAATATTCATAATCTACGAGTTTGAAAAGATTAAATTATTTAGATATTTTTATAAATTCAAGTGCATACATTAATACATACATATGTATATATATATATTATAATATATTATGTTATTCTATTAAAAAAATGTTTTATATTATTTTTAGACTATATTACTGGACTGCAGTGATTACAACTTGTTATTTGAATAAGTGCTTGTTATTAAAAATTGGATGACAAGGGTAATTAATATAAAAATATGGAAGTAGATATTACTTACTTGAATGAAAGAAGTTTCGTTCTTACAAATGAGAAAAACTATGCATAAGGATTAACTAAAAGTTAACTAAGGTAAATATATATAGTCAAAATTTAAGTATAGTCTAGTTTAAGTAAATTCAATTTATATGCTACTAATTAGATCAAAATTTATATGCTTTTTGAAAATATTTTTCAAATACCTAACAAGTTTAATAATTTTCTCATCAAAATACTCAAAATATTCATTTGCTAAGAACGAGTCTATGCAATATTGTTTTCTTTACCGTCTTCTCTTGAAATTTTTCTATGGTTCTAATAGACTGGCTCGAATTTTTTTCACAATAACTTCGGCCGCTGTAAATTAAATTACTTTGAATTGATTAAACTTTTCTTTTAAAGAGAAAACCAATTAGAAAAGAATATTGTACAAATAATATAAAAATTATACTATAAATAAATAATGCTTGCTGATTAATTCCATTTATGTATTTAATGATTTTACTCATAAAATTACCAATGTAAATAACCTTCAAAATTAATTTTTTCTAGTAAAAAAATCTAGGTACATAATAAATACCTTTTCTAAGGGAAACCCAAAAAAAATTCTATGTACGTAGGTTTTAATTTTAATGGAAAAATAGGACTTTGATAAAATTACACTTAAAAAAATTCTTCAAAATAAAAAAAAAATAATTACAAAAAATAATAAAAAAACAAAAGTGTATATTTTGAAATCATTAAAACAAAGTAGAAAATTCTATTGAAAACAAGTAGCAAAAAAATTTAAATAGGGTTAATAAATTTCGTACGAAAAAAAATTCCCTATTACAAATAGATGTTAAAGGTTTTAAAAATTCTCAATAATTTAAAAAAAAAATAAAAATTTCAAATTTATTAATATTTGTTTAATGAGACGACGATACTTTTCAGTTTAATCAACCTTTATAGCTCACAATTAATTTGGAAAGAGAATTTATCGTGAATTTATAAGAAGTATAACATAAAAATTCAAATTTATTGAACATTAGATTTCAAATATTTGATAAAAAAATTGATTTTTACATCGGTAACGGGTGTATTGAATTGGAAATTAAATTTGAAACTGAAATCGAATAAAAAAAGTTGTTAAAGCCATTAAATATGAGCGGTCTAATTAAAAATTTAAACAAAAAATATTAGTTCTAACGAAATGTAGTCTTTGTAATTTATGTTCAATGACTATGAAGCACTTTTTCGGATAAAATTCAATTCTTGTGAAGTTTTTACTAAAAATGTACACATTTTCAAAAATTGTGTTCTTTTTACAGTCAATATCTTTGATGATTGTAAGTGCTGATTGTGAAGTAGCTTTCTGTTGTTTCTATTCTTTTGTTAAGTAGAATTATTAAATAGATTGGAATTGTTTAGAATTATTAAATTTGCTGGCACTCTTCAAGCCCAAATTTTAGAAATCCTTTGAAAATTATAATAAAAATTATTATTAATTCAAAAGATTTTTGTTTTACATGTAAATTAATTTTAAAAAATATTTTTAAATACAATTTTCAATTTAATCAATCAAAAATTTATAATTATTGCCTTTGGAATATTCAAAAATGGAATTATATTAAAAAAAAAAAGTATTTATTAAATTAAAATTTTTCGTTTTAAATTCTTTGAAAACTTTTATTTATGATTGATAGTTTATAAATTAATAAAAATGATGAAAATGAAAATGAAAATTAGATGTTCAGAGTGACCAATTGTTGAATTCAGAATTGATTAACAAAATTTTCAGATTAGAATTCTTGGATAATTTAAAGTCGAATCAGGTGGAATTGGAATTTTATTTAAAGTACAATTATTGTTGAAATAAAAATCTAGTATGTCTATTGGTTTATTAAATTTTTAACACGTTGATGCGTTCTCCTTGCATTTTACTGTAGAAAAGTAATTTTGACATATTTCACTACTTAATTTTTATAAGTATTTTATTTTTTTTTGTTTTAA